CAATGCTCATGCACGACGTTTCTGCACCGGTATGAGGCGTCCAGAGTGCTGAGCCGGTCTTACATGATTCATCACTGACGACCGGACCTGGGGAGTACATCGAGGAGATAGGCCACAAAGGCGGACGTCGGTCACATCAGCGCTGGACTTGTTCCAGCTTCGGTCGTGTGGTGAACGGTGACGTCCGCGCGCCACAGCGCCACGCTGGCAGCGCATGCAGTGGAAGTGACCGCGACGATTGCGCTGGTGGCAGGGCGCCGACCGTGCGGACCATGTCTGCCTGTTGCCGTGGGGGCGTCGGCCGCAGACGGCGCACCTGTCCGGCGTCTGGGGCCCGAGAGCCAGAGCGAACGAGAGCCCGAGCGGCCGGACATCCGGGCCGTGCCGGAGTGTTCGCGTCCGCTGACAGACCCGTGCCGGTCATCTGACAGAGCGACGAGTCCGACGGTGCGGCTCTTCGGCGGGAGCTGGCACGAACAGGTAAGGTAGGCGCATCCCTTAAGCTTGTCCCGGCATGACGCGAACTCACGGAGGCTGGCATCCTCCATCAGCCGGTGGACGGGTGTCGGCGTCGCACCCAGCCGTCACGTGCTGCTGGGGTCTTCTAGACCAAAGGCAGCAGCGGGGGCGTCTCCGTATGGCCAGCACGGCAATCTGGCCTGGCTGGCTGATTTGGCCAGCGCCAGTACCCGCTCCCTGCTGTGCCGAGGCCTTGGCTTGGTCCTGCAGCATGTCTGTCAGACGGGAGAAAGTCTGGGCGAGGACGTCCGGGTCAATGGCGATGGACCCTGCCGGCTGCGCCATGTTGCAATTGCCACTGCTGGTTCTATGAACGATAACACGGAAACGGGCGTATGTGAAGTGGGGTACCGTTTAATTGCCCGACGCCCGGATGTGGCTTGTGGACGCGTGGGGACGCCCTTGTGCGTCTCAGCGTCTCGAGCCGCAGCATTCAGCGCCGGCCTCATGTTGGCCCGGCGCCAGGTTACCCGGCTCCCGGCGCTGAGGCTTTAGATGGACGATACGTCACGTACCAAGGGGCACCGTTGACAGGTTAACAGGGTCACTGTTGACAGGTTAGCAGGAGCACTGTTGACAGGTTAGCAGGAGCACTGTTGACAGGTTAGCAGGGGCACCGTTGACAGGTTAACAGGGGCACTGTTGACAGACTCTCAGAGGTCAGTGCTGACTGGTCAGTAGGGACTTCTGTTGACAGGTCAGCAGAGGTCACCGTTGATAGGTCAACAGGGGCTTTTGCTGACCGGTCAACAGGGGTTCTGTTGACAGTTTAACAGAGTTCACTGTTGGCAGATACAACTGTATTATGATGTCTACACATACAAAGCGTAGGATGACGACATTAGAAGTCTGGTGCAAAAGCGAAAGCCGCTTAAACCTGGACATCCCGACCGAGATGAATGCTTGCTGACATCAGCCACCGCCGGACGCCTTTGGACGATCTGATAACAACTAATATGGTGCTGCTCGGTCGCTAAGTCCGCACCGGTTGGGAAACATAGCCGTCTGGCTGCGGTCAAAGCAAGGTATGTGTTCACTGCTGCTGTCGCCGTCCCAGCTTAACATACCATGTGGCCGCATATTGCACGCCTCACCACGGCTTTTCCTGCCCACTGTCCTCCATACCAAAGCCTCGCGTGTAAAGGTTAATATGTTAATTAGTCACTCTTTAGCTCCATGGGGTAGCTCATATAGTCAAGTTGTCGAAATGTTTACTCTGCAACGTTAGATATCGCACCCTTCTTCACGGAACTAAGTTTTTTATCATAAGGAGATCCAAGTTAACGGCGTTGTTATTTGAACAGCCTTCACCATCTTTAGAAGTTCAGGATGGCGACCAGCGACATTTTGAATGACAACTAATTTTCTTACATGCTCAATTACCTTTGACCTTGATGACACAAATGGTCATGCAATATCTCATTATGGGCGTTATCACCAGTGGCGAGTCAATTTCTGAGCTTTGTCTCGAACTACGAGGTCTAATTTCATGCCAAATCAGAGGACAACTATCAAACTCGAAGAGGCCTTTGACGCACAGCGTCACGACATCTAAAGAGTTTTTGAGCGCAATACTAGCAGCCAGCATTCGTCACATTCCTCTACTACTGTTCATAGTCAGCATCACCATGCACACCCAGCTCCCCTTCGCTGTCTCCGATGTCCGTCCACTTGCCGGTGTAACGGATAAAGCGTGCGATTTCTCCCTAATGCTTGTGGTAGTCCGTACGCCAAAAGGCCTGTGTTGTAACTGTCGTGGTTGCAGCACGCAACGCTGCATGCCCTGTTGAAGCGGCCGGTATGATAGAGACTTCAAAGCTCTAACCGACGTTGGCAATATGTCTAGCTTTCCTTCACTGGGGGTGAGGGATTGCAGGAAAGCTCCTTCGGAGAGGGGAGGGGGTAAGTAGTGTCGTGAGCCAGTCGAGTCTTCAGACTTTCAGGCAGGCCTGCTGCGGTCACAGGAACCGATCAGATGACGCGGCACAGCAGCTGACCATGGCCAACCAGCATCTGATCTGCTGGCAGTTCAGTTTCGCTGTCCGAGTGTTGCCAGGCGTGCGTGCCCACCAGCAGCTTCTCCCTGGCACGATAGGGAAGGTGCTTCATGCGTCTCACATGTCAGGTCAGTTAGCGAGCATAACTGTGGTGACCTGCCACGAATAAAGATGGCAGCACTGCCTTGAAACAGTGCCGCTGAAGGAGGAAGCCGTCTTCCGCCCTTCGCGCGGGAGCATGAGCGCCGGTGATGTAGGATTGAAAAGGCATTTCACTCATATGCTTCTGGTCAGGCGTTCTTTGGCCCTCTCCAGGTAGTCCTTGAGCTACTGGTGTACCTTGGCCCCTTCCGAGTATAACCTCTGGTGTACCTTGGCGCCTTACGAGCACAACCTCTGGTGTACCTTGGCGCTTTCCGAGCACAACCTCTGGTATGCCCTGGCGCCTTCCGAGCACAACCTCTGGTATGCCTTGGCGCCTTCTGAGCACAACCTCTAGTATGCCTTGGCGCCTTCCGAGCACAACCTCTGGTATGTCTTGGCGCCTTCCGGGCACAACCTCTGGTATGCCTTGGCGCCTTCCAAGTACAACCTCTGGTATACCTTGGCACCTTCCGAGCACAACCTTTAGTACGCCCTGGCGCCTTCCGAGCACAACCTCTGGTATGCCTTGGCGTTTTCCGAGCACAACCTCTGGTATGCCTCGGCGTTTTCCGAGCACAACCTCTGGTATGCCTTGGCGCCTTCCGAGCACAACCTCTGGTATGCCTTGGCGCCTTCCCAGCACAACCTCTGGTATGCCTTGGCGCCTTCCGAGCACAACCTCTGGTATGCCTTGGCGCCTTCCGAGCACAACCTCTGGTATGCCTTGGCCCCTTCCAAGCACAACCTCTAGGTATGCCTTGGCCCCTTTCGAGCACAATCTCTGCAGCAAAACGGCGACAGTGATGTGTCCCCTTTCCGACTCACTTCACAGGCTGTGCAGCTGCAACGCAACAAGGGCCTTTCAAATCTGTGTCCGCTGAAGGGTCACAAATTAACTTCACTGCCGGCAAGTTCAGTCAGCCGTGAAACGCGGTACGGCTGTTGGAAGTCCACAAGACTGAAAAGCCGGCCGGTTGGACGAGTTTCAATGTTCAGCAGGATTGACTGACGGCGGGCTCTGCCCTGAAGTCTAAGACGCTGGTGGTGCTCGGGCCGATGATCGACTAGCCGTCCGACATTCAGACACCCTTCTGGCTGCGCTTGTGCCTCGAAAGAACTCTCAGTGCTCTTGGGGTGCGGCATATTTATCTTACAACCGACCTTTACTCGTACCAGACTGCAGGCCTCGTCTAACCCAATGACCCTCAGCGCCGGACCAACGTAATGTTTCACTCACACGGGCATGACGCACTCTCTCATGAGTGACCTGGGCTGTGCAGGGTCTTTGATCAGGGATCAGGGGTCGTGAGCGCAACTATGAGCGCGGCGTTTGGCAGCGGCATCCCCAGGAGGAAAAGTGGGAAGGCCTAGAACAAAGCCCTGGTGGTAAATCGCCTAATTATCGCCGTGCTCCCAAATATCTTCTACTTACTGGCAACAAGTCGCACCAGGATTTGAGAGACTATCTGGTATCAGCCCGAGAGCATCCGACCGGAAGGATGTGGGCAGGTTCCTTGGTGGAGGATCGGTGCACGGAAACAGCACAGAGACGGTTGGAACAAAAGACATGGTATTAGGCTTCGGTAGGATGCATATCAGTCAGCCTGCCGAGGATAAGCGCTGTCGTCCCAGCCCCAGACGCTCTTCAACTGTTATTTTGATATTGTTATCCACGGTTTTACTGTTTGACCGGTACCCAGCTACGTTAGTCTAGCTGTTTTTTCGGCTACACTGCTTCCTAGACAGCAAACACGCTCGCCTCGAAGCAAAGCCACCCTAATGGAACTTCGGCATTTTGGGGGGAATCACAATATGAGCCCGCGACGCAAGGGATTATTTGTTTCACTGCTCCTTCTCCTCGATATATAGCTACAGCAGCATTATTTATGATATGATGTCGGGTACAGAGTTCTGTGCCACTCACAACTAATCGATTTGCAGCGACGAGTTTCTGAACGGACTCTAGGGCACAGCCATGAACATGCTTATGTATGTATTATACGCCTCTATAAACATACACCGCGAATATAACACACTAGTCAGTATTTTTTTAAAATTTATAACAAATGAAACTGTTGCAAGTTGTACCCTTACCATGAGTGCGAAGGTCAGGATCAAGAAGAAGTATAGTGATGGAAAATCAACGGCACGTATCCATCCAAAGTAAAAATGTCTTCTCAAATACCTACACGCGCTGTGTAGACAGACTGACAGTGCGGCACACAAGAACACAAGAAACTGAAAGTGCGGTAACAACAAACTGTGAGGAAAGACAACATCACGTAGGCCCTGTCCCGCCACCATGCCACGGTCCCACGAACTAGCGTTGCGACAGCGTACCTTTTTGATGGGCTGTGCGGCCCGCAGATAAATGACGTACTCCCGGTCGACCGTGTGGTGCACGTTGGGGCGACAGCTGTGCGGTAGAAGGCCGGCGTCGGGGAACAGACAGCGCACGTGCGAGCCGGGACCGCGGCCGCGCGCTTCGAAGGCGTTCGTCACCAGAATGCCGCCCAGCTTGTGCAGCAGCTTCTCGTCGGCCTCCACCTGGTGGCGTCATGGCGAGTCTCGGGTCACCACGGGTCAGGTCAGGTTAGTCTCGGGTCACAAGGGGTCATGGTGGGTGGTCGGAGTCACCGGGGTCAGCCGGGGTCTCTGAGGTCGAGAGGGTTGGCTGGGGACATGAGGTTGCCACGCGGTTCACCGTAAATCGGCACTGATCACGGGGCAAGTCCACGTCCAGGGTCACTGGGCTCAGCAGGGGGTGATCAACGCTTAACAAGGGCAAGCAGCAGCCTGCCCGCGGGACGTCGACACGCTCCAAAGCAACGGGGTCTAGAAGGTCCCGGGCAGTGTTTACCACCACCAGGCATCCTTCACGGTCTGGCAGCATAAGTGTGAAACTCTCGCGCCGGCGAGAACACGGGCTTCGCAAAGAATATTCATCATTCAATTTGATACAGCAGGTGCAACACGGCAGTGACCATGGCCGACCATAGCATGCAACCACGGCAGTTGACTTCCCATGACTCCGTAGCACACGTCCCGCCCCGAGACGTCTGCGTCCACCGACCTTGCAGACACTCCTGAGGAAGTTGATCACGTTGTGCTGGAACACGGCGGCGACCTCGGACGAGGGCCAGTGGTCTGGGCTGGCGTCCATCTGCATTACTCGCTCCCACAGCATCGGCTGCGTCTCCTGCAGCTTCAGCAGCTGTCCCGGAGCGAGGAGAGCAGGAGGGACGTCTGAGACTGCCCTGAAGGGCCTTTTGGCGATTGTCGTGAGGCAAGCAGCCACAGCGGGTGGCACGTGCCGAAGCGGTGCCCTCGAAACTGTCTTTCATCTGTGCTACATCTGGGCAATGCTCGCCTTGACGAGCTGATTCAGTCGCCCCACTTGGTCCGGGAATAAACTCTTCGAGTGCGTGACGGATCAGAGACACCGGGCCGACTGATCATCGTGACAAACACACCGAAGATGAGGCCAGGATACCCGCCACAGGTACATATAACAGTAGCACCCGGTGACGTGTTATGTGATTGTGCCACAAAGCAACCGTACCACGGTCGAGGTTTTGGTCGCGCTAAGCAAGCATTTCAAACACACCAAAATGCTAACACTTGTAACTGAAGCACGCTAGTTAACCAGCAGCAAAGCGGTTCATTACGTTCAACGCATTCTCATGGGCTCCTCATGTCCCACGTTCAACTCGTTGCTATGTGCTCATCATATCCCACATTCAACGCGCTTTTATGGGCTCATCATGGCATCAGCTACGGGGGGGGGGGGATGGGCTAAGGCCCCTCAGCTCGGGTGGCGGGGGCTCTGACCGCCTGCTCGGAGGGCTGGGGGCCGTCACCTGCGGCCTGAGCTTGCTATCCCGAGGTCATATCCGCTGCCGCTGCTGCGGCGGACTCACCCGCACTGTGGTGATGGCCTCGAGGTAAGCGGCCGGCCGACTCCAGTCCTCGACCTCCGGTCGGGCGCGCACCCCGCCGACGGCCAGCACTGCACACTCCACCTGCCGTGGCGGCCATAGCTCGCTACACCGCCGGTCAGTGGAACACTGCACCTCCGGTCAGCGGAACACTGCACCTCCGGTCAGCGGAACACTGCACCGCCGGTCAGCGGAACACTGCACCGCCGGTCAGTGGAACACTGCACCGCCGGTCAGCGGAACACTGCACCGCCGGTCAGCAGAACACTGCACCGCCGGTCAGCGGAACACTGCACCGCCGGTTAGTAGAACACTGTACCTCCGGTCAGCGGAACACTGCGCCGCCGGTCAGCAGAACACTGCACCGCCGGTCAGCGGAACACTGCACCGCCGGTTAGTAGAACACTGTACCTCCGGTCAGCGGAACACTGTACCTCCGGTCAGCGGAACACTGCACCGCCGGTCAGCAGAACACTGTACCTCCGGTCAGCGGAACACTGCGCCGCCGGTCAATGCAACACTGGGGACTGAAATTGAGTCCAGCAATAAGTCCAGTCCAAAAAAGTGCAATATCATCTCATTCACCTTCCGCACGTCATCTGCTCACCACTCATATGCGCTAAACGCTCGCCGCCTGGATAGCTGCCAGCAGATTCGTGATCTTGGCGCTCTCCCGGATACTAAACTTACATTTGCTAATCATAGAAATTCGATTGTCTCAAAAGCGAACAGGATGCTGGGCTTTCTCACACGAAGCGTGCGAAGGCTGCCGTGTCCTCGTCGAAAACGATTCAGTCACAAGGTTTTTCCGTGTGCTATCATTGCTTATATGCCATCAATGACCGTTGTCAATAATACGGTGGCGTTATTTGGAGCGGTGCCGCCATTTTACATCTTGCCTGGCTCGGACGGCCACGTCACCGGTTTCTCATGTGTTGGGGTTTGAGTTCCCAGTTCCGGTGTGCCCCACTGGAGTGCTCAGTCCCGGTGTGCCCCACTGGAGTACCCAGTCCCGGTGTGCCCCACTGGAGTACCCAGTCCCGGTGTGCCCCACTGGAGTACCCAGTTCCGGTGTGCCCCACTGGAGTTCCCAGTTCCGGTGTGCCCCACTGGAGTACCCAGTCCCGGTGTGCCCCACTGGAGTACCCAGTCCCGGTGTCCCCCACTGGAGTGCCCAGTCCCGGTGTGCCCCACTTGAGTACCCAGTCCCGGTGTGCCCCACTGGAGTTCCCAGTCCGGTGTGCCCCACTGGAGTTCCCAGTTCCGGTGTGCCCCACTGGAGTACCCAGTCCCGGTGTGCACCACTGAGTACCCAGTCCCGGTGTCCCCCACTGGAGTGCCCAGTCCCGGTGTGCCCCACTTGAGTACCCAGTCCCGGTGTGCCCCACTGGAGTACCCAGTCCCGGTGTGCCCCACTGGAGTACCCAGTTCCGGTGTGCCCCACTGGAGTACCCAGTCCCGGTGTCCCCCACTGGAGTGCCCAGTCCCGGTGTGCCCCACTTGAGTACCCAGTCCCGGTGTGCCCCACTGGAGTTCCCAGTTCCGGTGTGCCCCACTGGAGTTCCCAGTTCCGGTGTGCCCCACTGGAGTACCCAGTCCCGGTGTGCACCACTGGAGTACCCAGTCCCGGTGTCCCCCACTGGAGTGCCCAGTCCCGGTGTGCCCCACTTGAGTACCCAGTCCCGGTGTGCCCCACTGGAGTACCCAGTCCCGGTGTGCCCCACTGGAGTACCCATTCCGGTGTCCCCCACTGGAGTACCCAGTCCCGGTGTGCCCCACTGGAGTACCCAGTCCCGGTGTCCCCCACTGGAGTACCCAGTTCCGGTGTGCCCCACTGGAGTACCCAGTTCCGGTGTCCCCCACTGGAGTACCCAGTCCCGGTGTGCCCCACTGGAGTACCCAGTCCCGGTGTGCCCCACTGGAGTACCCAGTTCCGGTGTCCCCCACTGGAGTACCCAGTCCCGGTGTGCCCCACTTGAGTACCCAGTCCCGGTGTGCCCCACTGGAGTACCCAGTTCCGGCGTGCCCCACTGGAGTACCCAGTTCCGGTGTCCCCCACTGGAGTACCCAGTTCCGGTGTGCCCCACTGGAGTACCCAGTTCCGGTGTCCCCCACTGGAGTACCCAGTCCCGGTGTGCCCCACTGGAGTACCCAGTCCCGGTGTCCCCCACTGGAGTGCCCAGTCCCGGTGTGCCCCACTGGAGTACCCAGTCCCGGTGTCCCCCACTGGAGTACCCAGTTCCGGTGTCCTCTTTCTGCCCCCCGCTTCACTCGGTCCGGAATAATATTTTCATACAACGCAGGCATATCATCACAGGCTTCCCCGCGCTCACCTTAGATCACTATTCTGTCTAGCTATACACCCGCCCCCCCCCCCCCCCCCCCCCCCCCCCCCCACCCTCCGCACGCTATCTGCACACCGGCCTTTTTCACGATAAATTTGGAAGAGCCAATGCTCTTAAAATTGAGTTTCTCACACGTTCATCCATTGCCTGCAGTCGTCTTGTATAGCACTCTCTCTCAATCGCCTTTTTCCAGTCAGCAAAATCATTGCGATCTGATTGATAAGGTTCGCCGGCACTCGCAGAGCATTCTTTTGATGACCGATGAGTCTTGGTCTGTGTGGTGAATATATGCACACATATACACACACACACCACACACACACACACACACATTACACCACACACCACACCACACACACACACACACACACACCCACACACACACACACACCACACACCACACACACACACACACACCATACACACACACACCCACCACACACACACACACACACACACACCCACATACAGATTACACACAATACACATGCACACGCACACACAATACACACACATATATGGGTGTGTGTGTGGATGTTTGATCATTGTTCTTGAAAGTGACTGCTTCCGCACCTGGCTTTATCCTGTGAATTGCTGATGCATTAAATAAACGTTACGTTGACGTTTCCACACCACGGATAAACAATCCCCTTGATTAGCGTGCTCGTTTGCGAAGACATGCCCAGCAGTGGCACTGCCGGCCTGGCTTCTGCCAACCGCTGAAGCGGCGGGGCTAGCCAGCCCCGCGCGGCGGGAGCGGCGGCGCCGCCCAGCTCAACCTGGTGTTGTGGACTCTGCTCATCACCGCGGTGCCGTAGCACAGCGGGTACTGGCATTGCGAACACCTGCCGCAGACGGCCGGGTCACACGGGCTGGTCACGAGCTACGAGGCCACGGGGTCTGAGATCACGGGCTCGGAGGTCACAGGCTCCCAGACTACCAAGGTCACGGGCTCCGGGGTCACGGGCTCCGGGGTCATGGGCTCCGGGGTCACGGGGTCTGAGCTCACGGGCTCGGAGGTCACAGGCTCCCAGCCTACCAAGGTCACGGACTCCGGGGTCACGGGCTGCGAGGTCACGGGGTCTGAGATTACGGGCTCCGAGGTCACAGGTTCCCAGGCCACCAAGGTCACGGACTCCGGGGTCACGGGCTGCGAGGTCACGGGGTCTGAGATTACGGGCTCCGAGGTCACAGGTTCCCAGGCCACCAAGGTCACGGGCTCCGGGGTCACGGGCTCCAGGGCCACGGGTTCCGAGGTCACGGGCTCCAGGGCCACGGGTTCCGAGCTCACGGGCTCGGAGGTCACAGGCTCCCAGCCTACCAAGGTCACGGGCTCCAGGGCCACGGGTTCCGAGGTCACGGGCTCCAGGGCCACGGGCTCGGAGGTCACAGGCTCCCAGCCTACCAAGGTCACGGGCTCCAGGGCCACGGGTTCCGAGGTCACGGGCTCCAGGGCCACGGGTTCCGAGGTCACAGGCTCCCAAGCCATCAAGGTCACGGGCTCCGGGGTCACGGGCTCCAGGGCCACGGGTTCCGAGGTCACAGGCTCCCAAGCCATCAAGGTCACGGGCTCCGGCCCACCGAATTTCAATACATTCGGGATCCATGTGCCGTCGCATGTTATTCGATTTACATGTCGCAAGGCACGATATGCTGCGCGTTGGACTTTGTCACATTACGAGCTGCAAGTCGCAAATCAAACAATTGCCTTTCAGCACGGATTATTACGGGATGCGTTCACCTAAAGTCATCGTCCTCCAGCATGCAGGTGCAGCCGAGGCAGGCGGGCGTAGAGTTCTGCTTGGGGCCGAACACGGCCGCCTTCTCTCGGAGCACCAGGTCACCGGGTTCCAGGTCGCGGCTGGCCACCACGTACCTGCCGCCAGGCCAGGTCAGGTCGCCAACACTCGGTTTGGCTAGGTCCAGTCACCGAGGTGCAGGTCGGACAAGGACCATATCAGGTGCAGTGTCACATACTAGCGCATTAGACACCTTGGTGCTGGAAACTTCATCATCAAAGGCACATGTTGCAATATTGGGCCGGCAACCTAAAACAATTGTTATGATGTGACTATATATGACCTCTGACGCCCTGGATGCCAACGCTGACACACAGAACACTTTGAGATGACCACATGATGCGCTACGATGAACATGATGGTGAGCAGGCACCAACGACCTCCCACGCGACGCCACCCCCCCCCCCCCCTCCCCTCCCCCGGACGCTGTGACCCAGGAGTCTGACCTGCCGTAGAGGTCATTCTTGAGGACCTCGAACGCCCGGCAGTCGACCGCGTGGCCGCCGGAAGCGTGCTGTTTGCGGTGCTCGTCGCCGCAGTAGAGGACCCGCTCACAGTCTGGGCAGGGCTGGCGAGCCGGCTGGGCGCACACGGCGCACGTGCCGCCGCCGCCGCCGCCGCCGCCGCCGCCGCTCTGCAGGGGCGACACGGAGATGTCATGGCAGAATGGGCGGCGAGGTTGAGGCACTTATGTACGCGTATATACTTATCTACCTATATGCTTACACGTGTCGTGAGACAACTGCATGCAACGTGGCTGTTCAGAATCTCAAGTCAGGTAAATATCGAACGGTGGGTTCAAGGATTAACGTGCACGAGCTATCCCAGACTTGCATTCAGTCACACGTGATAACGTGTCGGCAGTATTCAGTCGCTAGTATCACGTTGACTTCTTAACGGACTGCATGGAGTTAGGCTTGCGACTTAGGGGTCGGATCGCATCGGAAAATTTCAGATAAAACATGCTATGTTAGAGATGGACTGAAAGCTTTTGAAGCACAGAACCGGATTGGGTCAAATAAACCACTCTAGATTCAAGTAGCATGATATAACCTTGTAAGCTCGTGACATGTCCTAACCAGACTGAAGTGTTATTGGTATAGAGGGTTATAGATAGTCAAATTTTGGCGGTGGTTTGATTTCGAAGGTACGACAATTTCCCGAATGGATGAAAATAATTATATAATGATTTAATATAATAATTAAATAATCATAGCATAATTAAATTAGTATCTAATGATAATGAAATGCAATTATTAAATAATTGTGTAATGATTAAAAACATAATAATTGGGGCGCACCGAATCCTGAACGCGAAATCCAAGGAGAGCTTTACCAGAGGGAAATTCATCTACCAGACCAGACTCTGGCAGACTACGCACCACGCATGTCGAACAATGGCGTGTACAGAAATAGGAAACGATGACAGTTAAGGACTATGTGCCGTATCTTGAAGTGGCCACGCACCTGACGAGGCCAAGAGCCAGCAGCATACAGCTGACATGAGGGTAACAATCTAAAATCGAAAATTTGTTTTTACAAATCGCGAATTAGCGTGATGATCTCTTGACAATACCGGATCTCACATGTATATACTCATGCCAATAAGTGTAACATATTCCTGGATTTCGCGTGTAGTGACGCATGCATTCCAACTCGTCAAAGAACGTCCCGTTCTAACCGAGTCGGCATGACGTGGTCATCCACAACAACTTGCTTGGATAAAAACACGGTACCCCTTTCAAATTCGACGAAAACAGCGATTCAGGGGATTATGCGACCAAAACACAGTTCTGGAAGCTGAAAATTCGCATGGCGTACCGGTAAGCAACTAATACCAGATGAAAATACGCGATGACGTCACGAAACCGGCCTTCCAGTTTGCTCTAGCAAAAACGGTTGGAAAGATTAAGGCTAAGGCAAGGCTCATCGGAGGGCTAAATGCTTTTTTCTGAAAAAGGAGCGAAGCAAACAAATAAACAACGAATCAATGAAGCAAATATGGGGAATCGGAAACATCACATTCAATGCCAGATGGATACGTAAGTCAACTGGTTTAAGCTTTAACCTCATTTTCTGGAAAAAATGGCACGTTTTATTTTTTCAACCCGATATTAAGTTGAACAACGATCATTTGCCGTTCAGTGAAATGAAATAAATCAAGGGATCCCTTCTATGTCGGTCGCGAGACGAGTTTGAGCATTGGCACATCAGGCCCGGCGGCAGGCCACTAGAACAACATCTGAATACGTGCGTGTGCGTGTACGCACATGTCGTCCCTCACGACTCGCGCAGATGGCAACGTCTTGTGCTCAGAGTCCTCAAAGCGCATCGGTAGCGATTGAATAAAGATAAGCTGGAGCTCAACGTGAGAAGAGAGGAGCACCTGGTGGAAAGTTGCAAAAGTGTATCCAACATGGCCTTGAGCTGGAACAGTCACCTTGTGTGCTGTTCCCTCACGCCTCAAACCGCAAACATGGAGTTCGATACAGACGCGTCTAATTCGACGCCTGCTGCGAGTAGACCTGACGTTTGCCCAAGAGCGGGTCAGTAAAGAGGGTCAGTAAAGCCTTGATGCAGGATGGTCGGGCGAGTGAAGACATGCATATTTGCCACTTTCAGGCAAGTGCTTTCGGGAAGTCCTAACAAAAATAATCGGTTGATGATAGTCGAAGAAGAGCAGAAGAAAGTATTTGCGCTGGTGACGACTTTATAATATGCATCACTTCGTGTCATGCGGGCTATGTCCTCTTTGATAGAGTTAACCCAACCCAGCGCATGGGACGGCTCCAGCTTTGAGGATGAATTCACCTGTAACATCCACTGTGACAGCGACACGGTTGGACTAACCAGCTGCGCAATTCACAGCAACGGACATAAAGATAGCCGTGACAGGCGAGAAGCTCCTGCCCGCAGCGGGGAAGCTTTCCCTGCACAAGGATTGAGCCGCACGTGTATCCACAAACTGTAAGCTGCCGAACACGTAAACCGTTTCAATCAATCGGCGAACTGCTTAACCACCAGCTGTACAGCTCACCTGCCAACTGCAGGGTCTACCATATCAACTAGGCAGCGTACCTACCAACTGAAGCAGTAAACAGCTCGGGCCATAAATTGTTACCACTAGTTGTACAGTTTTCCCTGCCGAATTTACAGCATACCCGCCAGATGCACTGTTTACCCGCCGACCTCACAGCGCACCAACCGCTAAACAGTAAGCCTGCCAACGTCGCAGTGCCGCGGCGCCATCAGAAACTGGTTTGTCTTGCGTCGCGACGGACCGCAACAAACTAAGTAGCGAGCCGAGAGAAAATATCGGCCTAGCCGCCTGTCAGTCCGCGCGGTGGCGGTCGGCCAACACGGAACACACGCGCCCCCTTGTCCTCCGCTGGCGGCCCGGAACGGCAGGTGGACAGGTGCCGGACGAGCACGGCGACTGGTGCCGGGGCACCTGTCACCTGGGAGCGCCTGTCATACGGGAACGCCTGTCACACGGGAGCGCCTGTCACACGGGAGAGCCTGTCATAAGCACCTGCCATACGGGAGCACCTGTCGTACGGGAGAGGCTGTCACACAGGAGCGCCTGTCACACGGGAGAGCCTGTCATACGGGAGAGCCTGTCACTACGGAAGCATCTTTCACTTGGGAGCGCCTGTCACACGGGGGTGTCTGTCATACGGCAGCGTATGCCACACGGTAGCGCCTGTCATACGGGAGCGCCTGTCATACGGGAGCGTATGTCACACGGGAGCGCCTGTCATACGGGAGCGTATGTCACACGGGAGCGCCTGTCACACGGGGGCGCCTGCCATACGGGAGTGCGTGTCACACGGGAGCGTCTGTCATACGGAAGCACCTGCCATACCGGAGCGTATGTCATACGGGAGCGCCTGTCATACGGAAGCGTTTGTCACACGGGAGCGCCTGTCATACGGGGGCGCCTGTCATGCGGAAGTGCGTGTCACACGGGAGCCGGCACGGACTACGGACCAGGGCAGGCAGGAGACGGACCCAGGACAGAGGAAGTTGTCAACGAA